GTTGAATTGAACCTTGCTCAACAACGTTTATTTTTTCATAAAAATAACTGTGTAACGACCACGCGTGATATTTAAACATTTTGATCTGCAGATCAAACAAATCGGCCCGTATGAATAAAATTATTATATTTTTTACATAAATTTATCAAAGCATATCTTGAGAATGATCCAAACAAAAATCTATTTGATGGTGTGAATCATCCAAAAAATAAAATACTAAGACTTGATCATCAGGTATTTTAAATGCTGAACATTATATTTTTACATGTTAATTTTAATAGCATTCTCTAATTAATGAAATTCTGTGCATTTTGATGAATCTTGTTCAATATATATAATTAAATTTGCATTGCAATGAATTTTTAAAATTTTGCTTCATGTATAAATATAAATTATTAATAAAAAAAACTATTTATATATGTATTTACTGCCAAAAAAATTCCTTCTCATGTATACAATTATTTAAACATGTGAATTTATTATTTTTCTCAAAAAATGTAGCAATCTGTCACAATGTAGCATGATGTTAGCATTAGAGCTCCGAAACGAGTCGGGTTGACCCGAACGGGTCAGGTCGGGTCATGATTTAATTGACCTGGGTTTGACCCGGGTCAACATCATGTTATAATTGCCTTTAATTATTTTTGAAACTAGTATAAATACTAATAAATGGATAAAAATAAATGGCAAAATAACAATTTTGACATAAAAAAATATCAATAATTGATGCAAGTGTTTATGTAAAATAAAAATAATAATAAATTACGTTATTTATGGTCATGGAAAAATTATTTGGTGATCAGTGAAAACCTTATTTTTTTATTATTTAATTATTATTGCTATTTCGTTATCATTATCATTATTATTATTATTTCATTATTATTATTACTATTGTCACCGATTAAATTCGGGAGAGTGTATTTTAATTGGTGATAATAATTATTTTTGTTTTGTGTGGATCAGAATGAATAGGGGATCAATGAATTGATTTTGTTATTAGCGAATAATTTTGGTTAAAGATAAAAGTTTTAAATAAAATATTTCTATTTTATTTATTTAGTCGAAACTAATTAACTTGTAAGAAAGTTGCTTTTACATTAGGTCAAAATCAAGTTCTTTACATATTGGCCCGAGTTGCGCAAATCTGCCCATTTTGAAGAATCGTCACTAATCTCCACTAAATAAAGTTAAATAAATATGGATGTGCTACGGATTGATTAATAATAATTAAATACGCGAAACGTAACGCGAATTCAGATAATAATAAATAATTATACACGTTATTAATAAATAAATTTAAATTGTCCTGGAATTAAAAGATTCGACCAAAAGATCTGCATCAAAATCTAATTCCGGTAACACTATTTCATTATAAGCATAAATTAATTAAATTAATTAATAATGTCAAAAAGAAGAATTGAGATTTACAATTACAATAATTACAATGAAGATGATAAAGTAATTATTTTAGACAGAGAAAGCACCTTTTAGAATCTGAAGAGAGTGTTTACATTGAACCTGAAGGAAATATTAACAATTATAACAATTATGATGATTGTGGTAATGACAATTATGGTGGTTGTAATTATGATAATGATGATATTGATAATGGTGGTGGTGATGGTGATGGTGATGGTGATGGTGGCAGGATTAATTCTATCATGACCATTGGTATTTCTAAGAATAAAAGTTCAATATGGACACATTTTGATAAACAAATGGATGAAAAAGGCATAAAATGGGCTAAATGTAAATATTGCTTGTAAGTAATTA